GCCCGGGTCTTCTTGCAAGTCCAACTCTTCCTGCTTGCACATCCTTTTCTGTCACACTAGTCTACACAGATGCTATACCTATTGTGGGCCGTTAAAGCCTCCCAGCGCCAAGACTTTACAAAACACAAACTACAAAATGGAGGGGCCCAACGCGAATACTGCACAATGACTGCAATGAAGGGGTCAAAACCTCAACACGCAAGCCATTCTGGGGCTTGCTATTTTGTCAGTGGTTTCTTTGAAGTCATGTTCAATCTGTTTTCATATCTGAATCTTGGGCTTCTAAGTCTGCCAATGCGCGGAGAGTCCCAACGGGAAAAATACAATTTGATGGCAGAAAAGAGTTCAAATGCCAAAATGTAAACCATCCGGTTGAATTGCATGGGTTTGCTGTTTGCTATTTTTTGTTACTGGTTTGTTGAAGCCTTTACGGGACGCCGTCCTGGTTCCATTATCATTTGTTATTGTCACACTAGTCTTCATATGTGTCGACCCACGAACACATTTACAAAAATATCCCGGTGTTTCTTCATTGTGAAACAATGACTCGGACGCTTGCATCGCTCAGCCATTGTTTCGTCCTGTAGACTTAGGGATACCTGTTAAATGTGTTCCCGTTATCCACCAAACGTCTCAAGCAAATATAAGCAAAGGTCCACCAATTACAAACAACGATGTTCAGGTTTTAGAAACAGATCCCGGCAAAACAAAAATGAGTTCTACAATATGATATTGTCGACAAAGATGTATGTGTGCCATTCCGAGGAGAGGTCGCAGTGTTTTCCGTGAAGATGACCTCTTGCCTCAGGGACTCAGCACCATGAATCATCATGATTGCAGCTGCAGGCAGCAAGCAACAAGGAGCAACAGCAGCAGAGCTACGAACAGCAGCAGCATCAGCAAACAGCAGGAACAGCAATAGCAGCCACGTTGGGAACTAAGAAACGGAAGGGAGGAGCTAAAACCCGCGAGGGGGGGGGTATATCCCTGATATATCAGGGGTTAGGACTCAGGTCGCTTCCCACCCCTCCTTGCTAAAGCAAGACAGACTCCAGCTAGCTACAGCGGTTGCTTTCGTGACTTTCTCGTCTTTGCCCCATTCTTTCGCCTGAACTCCAGAGGTCCCGTGCACACGGAACTGCAACAATTCTGCGTTGCGGACGGGACGGAGGCGATTCATTGAACTCCGGTTCTTGTTCAAGTAGGGTGGAGGCCATCGCTCTTAGGTTGGAGGCCATCGCAAGTAGGTTGGAGGCCAACGCTCTTAAGTGGAACGATTAGGATTGCTTAGGATAGGTGTGCGTGAACATCCTTTCTTGCATCAATCGATTTCTAGAAAGCACCAACAACTACAAAACGCCCCGACATTGGAAGGAAGGGGCGAAAATACCTTGGAATCCCGCCTCAGAAGTAACCCATCTCTTTGCCTCTTTGCCTCTTTGACTCGAACTGTGGACTGCGTCCTTCGAAGGTTATCCTCTACGACGCGTTACTTCTTCGCGGCGCAGGTCGACGTCCAGGTGTTCAGGCTCGATGTCCAGGTGAATTCAGGGCAACTGCGCGCAGTTTTACGATGTTGTTCTCATGTCGCACCAAGGTTCACTGCAAACGGCCTGCCAGCAGCGCCATTCATTTGGACATCCATTTTTTGATGAAATGTTTGGTGATTGCAACCTGCATCTCATAATTAGACATGTACAGTTCCTTTTTCAGATTTGATAAAGAAAGAACGGTCACACGGCTACATAGCACCACGGGGTTATACAATACCTATATAATTTGTTTTGCACTCTTTGGCTCTGCTCCCAGCTGTGCATCTGGTGCGAAGGTTTCGTGCAGAACACATCTTATGGCACGTCCTGGTGCCCGTCCATTGGCCAAATAGCTGTCAAGACCCGTCTCATCCGCCAGGCTCGGGGCAAGCTATCGGCCATGACACCTATCGGCCAACGCATCGATTGGGGAAGAGCTATCCTTTTGCCTCGTCCTCTACCGGTCGCTCGGGCAGCTGTGCCATGTGCCGTGTGCGCCGTGCCTTTGGACTGTCGGACACACGCCCAGTTCGACTTTGCGGACACACGCCTCAGGTAGAATCTTGACTGATTTAAAAAGGCTTGGCTGATAAATCAGTATTGGATTATTTGGATTATTCTGTAGAATCTTGCCTCACAAAAAGGTGTATAGATCCAAAAGGGCGGTGTTTTCTTCACCAAAAATGATTCGCTCACTTGTGGACAACAGCCATGTGGAAGCAACGACGATCGCCAACCTCCTCACACTTAGGATAGGCTTGCCCGGAGGATTCGCTATGCGTTTGGTGACGGGTTTTCGGGAAGGCCCCACGAGTTTTCACTCCCTGAGTGCTTTGGACAATGTCAGTTTCTTGGACAATAGCCTCCCTCCTCTGCTGGATATGAAAGAGGAAAAAAGGCAGCACCATACCAAAGACAGACTGGTTTTCAAACATGATTTTTGTTCCTTGTTCATGCTCTACTTGTGCCTCGCACAGCACAAGTGCTGATCGAAGAGAAGGCTGGGGCGACACGGGTCCAGATCATGGAGCGCAAACCTAAACGCTGCATTTTGTCGTGGTGGGGCCGGGCTTCAGATTGCACCAAAACCAGCGTCTTGTGAGTCTTGTGAAATATATATACAGTTACAGTACGTTTTAGAGAAAACACACACACACACACACAAAAAAAAACACATAACACATAAACGTTGGGTCTAATAGTCTCATGCTCCTTGTTCGCTTTCCTCCACTCCACTTGCAACAATCAAAGCAGGCTGCATGCTCCCGGGTGCGTGGTTTTTGTGTGTGGTCAACCGCGCATCCTCAACAACATGAACCCACCATTCTGTTGAAACTCCGTGTAACATTTTGAGAGTGTGAGAGAAACCCGATCTTCAGGCCAAGCAACCCTTCAGATGCCCATGCTTGCAAAGGGTTGACAGCGAACACACTCTTTCAAAGTATGAAGCTAACAGGCACACATGCAGATGTTCTTCCCTTTTGGCCCTCACTTCCCCTTTCTTTCCCCTTCCTTCCTGTCCTAAATATTTTCCTTCATCTCTTTTTCCCTCGCGCCATTTCGGAATCTAAGAAGGTGTTCTGCGCATGCCTGGGTCGGAAAAACAAGGGCACAACAAAACCAAAAGAGATGTAGGCACTCTTGCAAGTGCATCATGAAAACACCGAAAGCAAACTTGCGATAACGACTGCGTTAATGATAACGGTGATGAGGACTCAAACGCACTGTTAGAAAACGTACCACTTTGGCTCTTTTTAATCGCCGGCTTTCAGGTAGAGGCTAAGAAACACAAAAAAATACCAAAAATCAACCCTGAAATACAACTTGTTTGCATGGTTCTACGTCCTAACTGGCCCTGGTTCCCAAACAACATACTCAAATGAGGGCAACAATGCAAATAGCACCCACCAAACCAATTGAATTTTGAGTCATGTTGTCCTTATTATGTGTGTTCAAGAAGCATTTTTGCGAATTTGCTGTTTTTTGCATTGTTACAAAATAGAAGCAAAGGCAACCGGGCCACAAAATCAGCAAGCACCCTTGTTGACGCGTCAGCAAAATGAAAAAATTGCAACATGTGGCTTCGCATGTTGGCTTCGCAGCCCGTTTCGGCAAATTTTGTTTTTCTATTTGCGCGGCTCGTATTTTTTGTATTTGTTATTTTTTGCGGGTCGCAATTTGTTTGTATTTTTTGTGTTTGTCCACACCTGTACCAAAGGTACCAAAGGGCACCGTCTAGTGCAAGATAATTTTTTTGGGGGGGGCAAAGAAAACGTGCAAAGCTCTGCCCAACGAAGCTCTTTGCACTCGTCCTAGGAAGCGGGAGCTGATCACTCCTGTGTACCTGCAATTTTCAATTCCATGCGTTTCCCTTCACCTGTAAAGCGCTAATGAGTTTTCCTTTGTCTCACCCATGCTAAACCATACTGTTGATGCGGACTCCTTCCTCGTGCGGTTCACCAGCCAAGGTCTACATGCGTGTAAAGGTGTACCTGCAGTAAAGGGGATGTTCGTCAACTGATTTAGCTCTTGCGAGCATCAATGTTTGGCAGCGCCCTGTTTTGGACCCACACGCTACGCGGCGAAGTAAGATAAGAACAGATACTACACTTCACATCTCATGTACAAGTACATCAGTGAACTGAAACAAACTAACACGCCGCCTAAAAGCTCGGCGCTCTAACCGTGCTTTTCCACAAGCTCTAAAGTTGGATTCCACTTCATCAAAGTGGTCACAGGAAAAGTCCATCCAACCAAGGCTCATCTATACATCAAGTATAGCCTGTTCCGGTGCTTTGCACAATTTCGACAAAAACTTTCATGAATTCTCAACCGCAACAATTGCTTC